GTGTCGCACCCCTTTCGCCCACAAAGACAGCCGGAAAGAAGCAGACAGTATCGAACTCAAACTTTACTTCACCGGCCCTGGCTTATGCCGTTGAGTTTTTAAGTCTATGTGGTCGAGGTTTTGGGGTTTAGGATTTACTTATATAGGGGTACTTAGAAATGATTTTTCATTTTTTGGTGAGTATAATCCCTAAGAAACAGCTAATAAAGATTTTTTGCTAGGGTTCTAAGTTCAGTATAGGATTTAGGGTTCTGGGTTTTGTGCTTAGGGGCCTTGGGTTCAGGGCTTGTTGCTGGAACTCTGGTCCTGGGAGTGGGAGTCTTCGGGAAAAGCTTCCAGCGCTGAGCCTGATCTTGGCGTTCTTCTGGTTGGCTCTTAGGAGTTTAACTTCTTGGGTTTCCATATGAACTATAATAACGAGGTTAAAAGTTTAAAAGTTTAACTTTTCGGAGGGTTGAGAAGTCAGCCAAGTGATCTTCGGAGAAGCAGAGTGGATCTAGACTCCTGCAGCCTGAAGCCAAGCCCGAAGTACCAACCTACCGTCGTAGTGGTGGTAGCAGGAGTGGAACGGTTGATGATATAAATCCTGCATTACCTGAAGGACCCTAAACTATGGGAATTATGGTATATTCCTTATTATGGGCAATGCAGGATTTATATCATCAGCGGAAGTAGCAGCCTGAGCCCCCTCAAAAACCCGAAGATTCCAGAAGCCCCCAACCTGTAGAATCCCTAAGCCAGCCAGACTCATTCTTTTGTAGCTCGGTTCTCCTCATCAGATTATCAAGAACCCAGCCCGATTGCTCTGAGTCTCTGAATCTTAAGGGGGCTATGGTAACCTAAATCAAGTTCCGGAAGCCTCTTACAAAACCGTTCAACAAAAACACTCACTAAAGCCGGTATAGAACTCTACTTGTGTAGGACATTGTCTGAGCACCCCTTTAAGCGTTTAAGCCCCGCGAAGAGTCCAGACTATCATGGCCCGAAACCCTGAGCCTGAGCCCTAACCCAGAGACCGAAGCCCTCTAATAGGGTTTAGGGTTTAGGATTTTGGGTTTAGGGGCGTTTAGGGTTTAGCTGAGGAAGAGATCAGTTGATCAGTACATCATCATAGAAAGGCCTGGCAGAAAGGGGGTATGAGGCTCTTTTGGCACCTCATATACCCCCAACACCTTAGTACTCTTCCTCAGAAGAGCCCCTAAAGGATCCGTCGCGGGATTTTAAGTGATCCCTTATGGCATCCTCGAAGGGTTCCTTTTAAGTATAAGGGCTCCTTTAAGGAATCCTTCAAAAGGGTTCCTAGTAAGTGATGAATAAGGGCTCCTTCAAGGGATCCTTCAAAGGCGCTTCGAGGGCGGGTGACCCAGAGACTCCAAAATCCCTTAATTAAGGTATATTCCACTAGAATTTAAGATACATTCCTTAATTAAGTGATATTGGAGTCTTTGGATGACGGAGGCTGCCGGCTGCAAGTTTGCGAAGTGGCGCAGTCCTTTGGCAATCACGTGGGAGACTCAGTGGCCGTATGCCCAGGCGTTGGGTTTAGGGGTTTAGGGTGCCCAGGGTGTTGGGTGTGGGATTTAGGGCCTTTTTGATAAGCTTGCTGCAGGGTGCCCTTAAAGTGACTTTGTCAGGGTTTCTATCAGGGGACATATAGGGTTTAGGCCTCAAGCTAATTACCTGCTACTGGGGGTCGCATGCTTTACCCCCTCCCCTCTTATATACTGGCTTGGACCGACCCAATCAAAAACCCTGTTCCAATTATCAAGGTCCCTACACCTTAGTGTTTGCGGGGCTGCCCCGACCCCAAAACCATAAAATACACTTGAAACCTAAACCCTAGACCCTTAACCCTTAAACCCTAAACCCCAAACCCCTAAACCCTAAACCCCAAACCCTAAATCGAAGCCAGTCACATGCCGGAAGCCGTAGACCTGAAGCCAAGGGTTTCTGGGTTTGTCGGTGCAGCAAATTAGCTTAGGGGTACTTAGAAATATTTTTTTTAATTTTTGGTTATTATAATCCCTCAGAAACAGCTAAAATTATGATTTTTGCTAGGGTTCTAAGTTCAGTATAGATTAGTTCGAGGTGCCAGAAACAGGATTTATAGTGCACAGTGCGTAGTCCTGGTTATGATGATAGCTTTCGTTAAGGTTTGCAAGAAGCCTGTTTAGGGGTTTTTGGGTGACAGGTAGCTGCCTGGGCCGTAAATGTGATCTCTGAATTAGAGACCTTTGCTGGATCCTCAAAACAAGGCGCCGCTCTTATGATCATTAAAACTCCTATATTCCTGAAAGATACAAAACCCTAAGCCCTATGCCTTAAACCCTTCATTTGGAGAACTGCCCCACTCCCTTGGCCTCAGGCGAACTGGTCCGACAAAGCTTGCCATTGATGCAAACATGGAGGAGCGAGTTTGGCGTGCACATTGCACCCACAACCCCCAAATCCCAAACTTAACTGGGCCGAGGCCCCGGATTGGCTAGGATGCCCAGTAGTACCCTTATTCCCTTTTTGTAGTCCTAGGTTCCTTATAAAGTTACCCATTACCAAAAAGAGAGGCCTTTTTGTTCTTAGGTTACTGGGTATCCTAGTTGGTTATCTGCAGCTGTCACTGAGGAGTAGTTGGATCCACCGGGCATGGACGCTCTAAAGCATGGACTTTTCGTAGCACTTCGACCTTTCATCCCCCTTTAAAGCTCTGCTATAGGGACCAATTAATAATTGCCTATATTATTGCGGGGGTTCCTTCTTCAAATGATAGTACGATGGGCCCCAAAACCCGATTCAATTTATTAAGGCCCCTATATTAACGCCTCCCGCCGCAAGCCCCGAAAGCCTGCGTCGCTGCGTTGCGGGGTAGTCTTTACCCTTTCGGGGTTCACAGAAATCCCCCCTATAAAGCCTAGACCCTTAACCTTTTTTGGGCTAGGATACTCAGCCCCTAAGAAGCTCGTCTACGCCTACGGAACTTCGTGTTTTTCGCAAATCCCGCAGGAAGAGAACACACATCGAATGTGCTACAACACCCTACTGCAAGGCTCTCCATGTACCTATGTAGGATATACTTTGACCTTAAAGTATTCCCTAGATGGGTACTTTTGCTATGTTAGCATATGGAGCCTTAGGGAACAATCCACCACCCTCTCAACACAAGCTCCTAAATGGTTCGTCAACCTGCAGCGGGCATAAATACAGAGTTCGAAGAATATGTCGTAGTATTCCTTCGAGTTCCCATGCATATTCACGGTACAGACCACAGAACCGAGGCTATGCAGAGCTTTGAAGAATGTGGTGGCTTTTTCAAGTGTAAGGTGAGGGGTTTAAGTCTTGTGTATTGAGAGTTAGGGCTTAGGGGCGATACAGCTCCAAGTCCTTCTCTTCGGGTTCTTAGGATTTTCGGCCGCACGGTAGTATCGCTGTAGACTCTGTATTTTGGAGCCCCCATGCAAGGGTACTACTACTTACAATGAGGTAGCGGGGGCCCAGACTTGAAAATCTTGCGTAAATCAGACTAAGAAACCTGAAGCCGCTTGCCCTACCCATACGCCCCAAAGTAGTTCCTTTTTGGGATTACCTTATAGGATTCTATATACGAACCCCAAAAAGGAACTACTTTGGGGCCTTAGGGTAAACCCTCAGCCATTATTCATTGGGCTCCGTACTGAAGGCTCCGCTCCGCTCCTGGCCTCTTCAATCCCGCCCAAAGCTTCCAGCTTCTTGCTTTGTCCCGGTCAAACATAAGTATAGATATAGATATATAATAACATGCATATCGCAAGGTTACCTGTTTAATCGCTATACGACTATAACCCTTATGTGTATATAAATATATATATATATACACACGTATACCGTATACCATACCGTATATCTAATCTTTAAACTCTATAAACCCCAAACCCCAGTATAATAGTTATTTGCTTTTTTCTTCTCGTGCTCAGGATCTCGCACGCTATGTGCGCCCAGCTTCCGATGTGGGAAGTTGTTTGTCGGGATCTGGGTTTTAGGGCTTTGGGCCTAGAGTTGACGTGAACTGTGAATTGCTGGCTGTCTCTTTATCTGCTGTTGGCTGTGTAGACGCATCCCATCAGGCAGTGTCGGGTTCTTCTGATGCAAAACTGCAAAACCCCTACCCAAACATCTAAAACCCTAAGCTGTAATCAACAAATCCCAAGCCCGAAGAAGCACATCTATGTGGGCTAAACCCATAAAAGTTGAGCAAGCTCTTTGATCTTAAGCTCGGTATGGCGAGCAGCCAGGGCCTTAGGGGCAAGTCCCTGATCACTGAAGCTTGTTGTTTAATTAGGTTCTGTGCCCAATTTAGCCTATGTTAGGGGCCTTAGTAAGGAGAACAGGGTTTGTTTACGCGGCTTCTTGAAGGGTTCTATCAGGGCTCCATAGGGTTCAGCCAAGAGCCTTCATTGATCAAACTAGGGCTGCAAAGTATACAAACTACCCGTACAGTTGCCTCTGCCTTCTATAAGTAACAGTAGCAGTATGATTCTTACATGTGCGGCATTTTCAAGTTTTTGTAAGCACCTACACCAAATCCGTCAGTCCTAAATATTGAAGCAAACACAAAAGCAGTAGTCGCCAAGTCCTCGGTGCCTGAATGTGGTTGCTGACGGCTCAAAGGTGGAAACTCACCTGAACACAGTCAGCGAGACTACGTCTCGCAGCTTGACCTGACATAAGTCTTTGGCCTGGAGAACACCGGTAAAGCCTAAGCCCCTAAGCCCTCAATCTAAAGGTAGCGGAACCCCCTTGTGGTGAAATGCGAACACACCGCAAGCCCCGAACAGCAGGCAACCAAGAAGCATCCGCCTCCTCCGCCTCCTCGTAGCTCTGGCACAGTGGCCTTTACCCTCCATCGCACGATATCGTCGCGCCACATAAACCCCGCAACCCGCAATCCTGCACACCTTTACCATCCTCGCGTTTCAAAACTTTTTCGCGCGACACCCTTCTGGCCGTCGGCTCACCGGAGCTTCCACGTTATGGAGGCCCACGGTGCGGGTAGGGTTTGGGGGTTAGGGGTTGAGGGGTTTAGCTTATAGAGTAGCTGAGTAATAAAGCTTTACCCTTCTGTGGTTTATTATAATCCTACCATAACTGAAGCGGTTGTCCTTTTTTGGGGGCTAGGGTACCCAGCCATAAGTTAGGGTGTTGGGTTTCTTTATCACCCTACATTTCGATATAAACCTAAACAGCACTACATACACCACATAGACCTATTGTCAAAAACCCTGTTCTAGTGATTAACGACCCTATAGTAAAAGTTTGTGCGGTACAGTTTGCAAGAACCATAAACGCTCGGACAGCTTCACTGCCTTACAGAGGTGAGGGCTGGGCCGTGGGGTTGAACGGTCTAGCTGCCACTGTAAGCAGCTAGACGCCTGGAGCTCGACAGCTGAAGACCTCTGCATCTTGAGGGTTTAGGGTTTAGGGTACTTATACTTCAGCAAAAGCATCCCAAACGTTCTAAACCCTAAAGCCTATAATAGACATGAACATCCTTAGACCCCTGGTGAGGGCTCAGAATCCCTCAGCCCTGAATTGTAAACCCTCAAGCTCTGGAACCCCAAACCCTACTAAAGCCCTAGACCCTCAAACCCCGGAAGTCTAAAATCTTCAACCCTAGCCCCCACTGCAACCCGAAAGGTCTAAGTTTAGGGTTTATATGGGGAGTCCTTCAGAGGTCTGAAGCCTGAAAGCCTTGAACACCCGAAGATTCGAGTGCTGACGTAGCAGGGCCTGGATACCAAAATCACATTGAGGGGGCAGTATTTGCACATAATATAGATATGCTGAGGAGGCATGCGAGGTGTGTATGTCTCATGTAGGTCTAAGTCAATGTTTGCAGCTTGTCCCGTGTCTATGTGATTGTGCTGTACAGTCATAAACATCTGCAGTGCACACCCAATATCCCTGCATACATCAAGCATTCTTGTGTTAGTTCATTCAATCGTTCCTTCGTACATACATACATGCATGCATGCATACATGCATACGTACGTAATTACACACAGACATCCGTGCATGCATGTGTACATACGTTCCTCATATACATTTTTCATATAAATACGCATATACACAACCATTCTTTTGTAAATATGTACATACACATATATGCACGCAGGTTTTCTTTTATATGTATACAGAATATGAATATGAATATATATATATATACATATACACGTAGGTACATGTACATCTACATATGCACATGGACATACACATGCACGTGCACGATCGTTCCTGCCAGGAGTGTATCCAGGGACCTCGAAGCCTCAGTCCACCCATGCATCCGCTCTCCGCGCCGTCGCATCTGCCCAACGAGGTGGCATCAGTTGTTTTAGGGTTGCTTGCGGGCGTGCGTTGAATGTTCATTATGTTTGAGGGTTTGGGTGGAGTTTTGTTTCTTTGTTACAGCGGTTCTATTTTTATGGTTCAGGGTTCGGGGTTTGCAGGTTTTGAGCTTGTGGCTTCAGCGCCTAGAGTTTAAGACTCATAAAGTTTAGGGCTTAGGCTTTTGGACTTTGGGGTTTGGGGTTCAGCGTTCATGGGCAGTTCGTTAGTTGGGGTTTTGCATGTGTTTGGAGGTTTTAGAATTTCGGGAGCGGCGGGGGATGGGGGCTGGGTGCTGGGGAGTTTGAGGATCGAGAGTTGCATTGAGGTCGTAGAGCTTTCGGCAGGGTAGACGCGGGGGAATGTGCTCACTCTCCATAAACTTCATGTTTGCCCCAGTGCTGCTGGGCATCTTCAGCATCTCGGCCAACTGGGTGGGAACGTCCCCTCCACCCTGCTTGTTTTCCTGTCCTCTTCTTGCCGCCAAGATTATTATCACTACTATAGTGGCCTTATAGCAATTCCCAATACTATTTTGTGGGTTCCTTATAATGATTATAGTGTAATGGTCCTAGTAAACCCTATTCTAATTATTAGCTCCCACAGTACCGCCAATTGTCGTCCGCGTCGGACTAACGATCCCGCGCACGATCAATACCGACAGCCACAAGTTTGTTGACACTGCCGTACAGTGCCACTGCTGTCGCCACGACGACCACCATAAGCATCTCCGTAGCGGCAGCAACACCACCAACAACATCATCGTCAACAATCCACAGCAGCAACAACAACAAGAACACTAAGAATAACAATAACAAGAACAGTAACAACAACACCACCAACAACAACAACCAACGACGACAACGACAACAACAACATCAACAACAGCAGCAGCAGCAGCAAGCATCTGAAAGTGGAACAGCTTTTTCCACACTGACGGTGCAACATTCGGAAGGCTGTTCCGGAGGAGTTCGACAGTGTTCCGGTGCCTGCGCAGCCACCATCGCTGCTGCACGACACAATGACGCTGGCCCAGACCGTAAAGACCCGGAAGAGCGATCTTGATCCTGTACCCGAAAGCCCCTAATCCCCAGACCCGAAAACCCAAATCCTAAACCCTAAGCTAGAGCCAGCGATTCATGTTAGATCCCCCATACCTTTAAACTTTTTGGGTTCTTATAGTTTAGTAGGAATCGGTAAGTTTAACATTCTATTTCTGTGGCTTGTTGGGGAAGTACGTAATAGTCGAGCTATACAGATCCCGGGGGTGGTTGATCTGCAGGGCTGTACTTGGAGGGGCAGGGGACTTAGTAAGTAGGTTATAAGTAGGGTTATAATTGGGGTAGCTCCATTTAGGGTATTTTTAACTCTACTTATAACCTACTTACTAAGTCCCCTGCCCTTCCAAGTAACCGGGTAAGAGAGGCGGGGGCCCCAACAAAACATAGCTTCTTCAGGGTTGATACTGTTGATGGACAAAATCCTGCATGAGCCTAAGGACTCTACACCATGACTCGCAACAGAGAGAGAGAGAGAGAGAGAGAGAGAGAGAGAGAGAGAGATAGAAAATCAAAACAAGCGCCGCCCGTGGACTCACAAGGCTTGTAGTCTGCAGTAGAATCCACAGTATGGGTTGAGATTAACTCGTGATGTTCACTCTTGATCGCCATGGATGATCATGGATGCGGGGTTGTCGCCGAGTTAGTGCTCAAGGCCTCAAGGCTGTTAACAACGGTTTGTTGTTAGCGTTATTGCGAAGTGTATCCGAGCTTTGCTATTCTGCTCAGTGCTACTGCACAAGAGCTCTGGAAGGGTCCGGAATTCTGCTTGGGGTGTCTGGGACATACCCCAAGTCAGAGCTCGGAATCCGCATACCTATGTTGAGTCCGAAAACTCGAAAGCGCACAGGCTTGTGAATTTTGGACGTAGGACATGGCCGACATACCAAACCCCACAACCATCACCGCACACACCCGCAACCATCACCGCACACACCAGCGGTCCAGTTATATGTATGTGTATATATGTATATATGTACTCTTACACGTACACACATACACACACACACTCATATGTATATAAATATATGTATGTATGTATATATATATATATATATTTATTTATGTAGACATACATACATACATACATACCCTCATACGCGCATGCATGCATGGATGGATGTGTGGATGGATGGATGGATGGATGGATGGATGGATGCATTAATTATATACCCACCACGCCCCAGCAGACCTTGAAAACAGGAAACAACACTGAGCCATATAAAGCTCAGGAAGGAGCAGCACGAGGCTGTCATGACCCAGCTGCAGCTCCAATCAGAGCTCTTGCGGCAGGAGCGGGCCCTTGCTGCTCTAGGGTGTGGCGTTTAGTTGTCGGCTAGGTTTTCAAAACAACAGACAGGATTTTGAACTACAGCTTCCTGCACATCACTCTGCAATCGGTTTTTCCTTTGAGTTTGAATTGCTGCATGAAGTTACAACCCAAATACAAATGTTCGACACTGTACTGATAACCCAGGTATCGCTTAAGCCACTACTTAAAAGACTTCTAGCTGGGCGTTAATTCCAGGAGGCACAGACTCTTGTGAACGTGCAGATGGTCCTCGTTGGTGAGTCAGTTCAGGGTTTAGGGTTATCTAACCATTGATATTATGGGAGCTAAGGAGCCAGGGATGATGATAATCCCTATTAAATAAGGAGCTAAAGAGCCAGGGAACCCCCAAAACCACTGGTTAGTTATCCTAAAGTTATAAACCAAACCCTAAAACCTTAAACTAAGCCGAAAGCCCTGCTACACACTTGAGCCCTGAACCCCAAATAAGACAGCAAACCCTACAGCAGACAGGTCTTGATGAACACCTCGCTGGAAAGCCTCGGCTCTTTAATCGCCAACGCCTCTGAGAATGAAGAGGCTCTTGACTCAGCGGCTCGGCCGGGGGTGTGGCAGAGCCAAAGAAACCCCTAGGGTTAGCGTCGGGGGATTAAGCCTTAAGGAGTAGGGTTAGGGTTTTAGGCTTTAGGATGTAATTAATCAGGGTTTGAAGTTCGGGAATATTTCGAGGTTTGGAGGTTTGAGTTTCGGCATTTCGGGTTCCTTTCTCGATTCAGGAATAGCCGAGAAACCATCACCTTATGTGTCTCTGCAGTGTTATAGTCTGGTAGGTTAGTACGCTCATGTGGACCTTGTCGGTCAGGAGTTTCAATAAGAAGTGCAGTCTAACTGTTTGATACATGTACCCGTATCATCACACGTAGTTGAGACCTTATACACTTTACGGTATATAGATTCTTCCACTACAGGGGCGGGTTAAAGGTTGGGATTCTGGGTTTTAGGGTCACGAACTCGATACCTGATGAACATTATTGTTGTTAGTATTGGTCTTATAACAACAATATCAATAGTTGTTTGTGCTATTGTTATTGACCTGGGCAACACTATCAACATTAATGTTCGTTCTTAGTTTCGATAGGTATTAGTTAATGTTTTTTATGTGTTGAAGGTTCCATTCTTGTTACCACGCTTGTTATTGTTGATCTTGAAGTACTATGGTTTTCTTAGTATTTGGGGATCAGGGTCGTGACCTGGTCTCCCAGAACCCCGCCCCCAAGGAGTCCCCACAAGCTGCAGCCGCAACGGATATTGGAGTTTCCGAAAGTTAGGGATACCTTATCTTAGGGCCCTTACATATAATAAGGATCCTAGGGTATTATATTCGGGTCCCCTATTTTTCGGAAACTCCCTATTGATCATTGGGCGATGTCCTTCTGAACAAGAAGCCTCACTGGTTACGGAAGTACACAAGCCCCTGCTTTGTTTACCTAGCTTTGGAGTAGGTAACCTTAAACCTTCATGGGTACTGTCAAAGGGCCCTAAAGCCTCAACCGCATTGTTAGGATACTGCCAAAGTTACTTCGGTGGAAGTCCTTTCAAGCTTAAGGCTTAAGGGATGATACGAGAAGATCCTGGACATGTCATGTATATCTTAGAATCCGAGAGGTTTAGGGATTGAAGGGTTAAGGGGTTTAGGGTTTGAAGGGTTTCGGGTTTAAGGGTTTAGGGTTTAGCTTGCTTAGATGTTGCCTGCAGCTCAAGCATCTCCTGATAGAAGGTGTCATTTCTAGTCAGGAACAAGGGTTTAGTGCTAGGTACGGTTGGAGGTGTGTAAGGTCGCGAAGCACTTCAATTTGTCAATGCGCCTTGCAGAATCGTCCTGAAGCTCAAACCGTGCATCCCAGACGGCTTTTCCCTGGAACTTGAAACCCTACGTTCACCTACCAGAGCCTACTTGATTGTGTCATTCCTATAATTTGCAGATTAGGCTTTACACTAAGAACCTACAAAGATTCAGGTAAACCGACCCTAAACCGTAAACTCCTAAAACGGCCTCCAGCATCAGATCCCCAATCGGTTCAGGGCACAACAAACCCAAACAAACGCAAAACAGGTGCTTTGGCATGCTTTCCCTTACACTTTTCGTTTACCTGGACCAAAAAGCTACAACATAACCACCCCTGTACGTCTTAAAAAAGCTACACACGGATCAACCCTAGGCCCTGAGGTGGAACCCCAAAGCCCTAAACCCTATAACTCGCAGCTCAGGACGCTGACGTTATCAGCCCCCTACCCAGTGGGAACGACAAGATCGCCTCTCCAAAGGCAGTGTAGGGTTTAGAGTGTCGGGCTTCGGGGTTGGGCGTAGGAGTCAAACGGGTGTCAGGGTTGTTGTTTTTGTTGTGGAAGTTTGGTGTCCAGGAATCTGGGGTTTGCAGTTTTAAGCTTTTGGGTTTAGGGTGAGGGACCCTCAACCTTGCTGCAAAGGGCGGCGAAGAGTGCAAAAGGCAAGGGGTTTACAACAGGAGGATCTGACTGCACGTCGCTGTGGCAGGTGGGATATTCCCAAATAAAATTCCTTATATAAGGGATCCTTGATCCTATCTACCTTCATCCCACCTGTTGAGGCCTCCGATAGACATGATAGACCTGATCATGAACCTTCCTTCACGTGGCTGCATTAAGAGCTGCCGCTGTGGCAGCTCCGGGTGGTTCTTGAGTGCACTTCCATGCTCATTCCCATTAAGAATGATGCCCATCGAGTGCTGATGTTTGCCTAAGTTGGCTTGTTTTGCAGAAGTAGAGCGGCGATAGTAACATCCGACAAGCATCATCCCCACAAGTCTTGGAGCCTTTCCGGCCCCGAACCCCAAACCCAGGACCATCCTAGAGCCACTCCTCAATCCTAAAGCCTCTGAAACATTAAGCTGCCAAATCCCCAAGGCCCCGAACCCTCTAGTTGCCGATATAGAATCCTTTAGTGAATCCTTGGTTATCCTTCGAACACGATTTAGGGATTGGGGTTTAGTGTTCTGCAAACCTTCACCCCCGAATCCGTGCGTCCAGGTTCTCTCCCCTGGGAGTTCCGGAAATTTCAACGCAACCTGTCCAAGGATTATAGCATTTAGGGTTGTGGGTGCCTTTCTACAGTAAAGGGTTGAGGATAGGATACAGGCTATACAGGGGTTTAGGGTGAAGGGGCTAGCTGGGGATGCAGGCTCTTGGATTTTAGTGTAATTAGGGTTTAGGGTCTAGTGTTGGTTTATATAGGGCTGCGGAGGCGCGGAGTTTGGGGTTGAGTGGTACTTGGAAGGGCAGGGGCCTTACTAAGTAGGTTATAAGTAGAGCTATAAGTACCCTAAATGGAGTTACCCCAACTATAACCCTACTTATAACCTACTTACTAAGTCCCCTGCCCCTCCAAGTAGAGGTAGAGCTTTGCAAGGATGAGGTGAGGCCTCCCTAGGAAGATCGGCGACTAATTATGTTCTGCCAGAGTTCAAGGTTCTGGGTTTACCCTACACCCTAAACCCCAAAGGCCTAGGCCCTAGCAGGTTTAAGTGTTTAAGGTTTAGGGTTTAGGGATATAGCTTGTTATGTTGATTCGCATGGCAAACCAGGCCCTACTTCACGGTTTTTTGTATTTACATGCACGTTTTAGGGTTGAATGCTTTTGAATTCCCAGTAGCTGAGTAGGTAGCCTTTAACCTTTCGGGGTTCATATAAATTGAAAAGGTAAACCTGTTTTGGGCTAGGGTACTCAGCCCCTAAGGGCTGGAAGATGCTCCTGCCTGCAACCGAAACCCAACGCTCGACAGCCTAGCCTCATCAGAAAACCCTGAACCCCTACACCCCCAAACCACTGAACTCGGAAACCCTAATCCCGAGATCGTAGGGCGGTGACCATACAGTATAGCTTAAGCACAACATATATGTTTTTTTGTTTGCTTGCTGCAAGGCGCTTAGGTGTTAAAGGTCTTACGGTTTATAGGGTCTTTAGGGTTCAGGGCTTTTAGGCTAAGGGTTTCTCAGAGGGATTTTCGGCTGAAGGGCCTTTTAGGTTCAGGGCTGAGCATCTTAGGGTTTAGGGCTGTAGGGATCTGGGTGGACGTAGGGTTTTCGGGATCTGGGACTGTAGGGTTTTAGGGCCTTAGGGTGTTGAGTGTGCTCTCCCATCTTCGTGCCTTTTGCCACGACGGTGGCCTTTCATTTTTTGTTCATTGCATCCTCTAGCCTGTTTCGTGCAAGGGCTTAACCAGCTTAAGGGCTTAACCAGCTTATACCACACCACCAACCCGACTGAACTATGCAAGAAGATTAACCGGAACCCATGTGGAGCATGTGTCTCCTTTGAGTGCATTCGCTGCTGTGAACTCACAGATCAACGATGCGCAACTTGAAGAAGCCACGGGGGGTCCCTGTAAGCTAGCAGCTAGTCACCATGGCCCCCGAGTTTCTGAATAGGGATTCTCGTTTGGTGCTACATGACATAATGGTTCGTCGTAACAATGCCCTTTCAATAAGTACATATACATACACATGCTATGACGTACCCCCCCAAACCCGATTCAAATGATTAAGATCACAGAAACAAACCCTAAACCGATCTGCTCGCTAGCAGGTGGATGCGAGCCAACCCGTTGCTCGAACCCGACGGCCCTCATTGTTGAGCTCGCTGCGGAGCTACACGGATGAGGACCTGGGTCGCGACTGGACTTCATAAGTTGACAGGCCCCCATTAATTAAGGCCCTAAGCCCTGAACCCCCTCAGTAAGGGTTTGCAAGGATCTTTCAATGCAAATCTGGCTCTCCACGGGACCTGTCATTCGGTGTCCCCTAAATCCTAGACCGAAAACCCTGAAGCCCTAAAGTGAACAGGAGGCAAAGTCTTTTTTCGATACAAATATGTTCAAAGAATCGCAAAACGCACAAAACAGGTAGTATGGCACTATGCCGAGAATCCCGAAACACATGGCTACAGCGACCTGTGAACATAGTATCGCAGCTCCAGGTTTATCAAACACCGACATAACTACTGTTAAAAAACCCTCAACCCTAAACCCCTAAACCGTAGCCATTTTTGGCTCAAGCAGCAATCAAGATGCTGTCCATTGCCAGCGTGCAAAATCAACTGGCATTGACATTGAATATACTAAATGAGCAAGTGCGATTTTCTTCATGGTATGGCATGGAGATTTAACGACCCTGGACTCAGTCATTTCGACCCAAAAACCTAGTCCAAGGTCGTAAAATGGCAAGGTCGTAAAATGGAAATTTAACGACCCTGGACCAGGATTTCGGCTCGAAATCGTTCCTCACCATTCCTCACCTAAGCGCAGCGGTCGATGCCTACGATGCGTACAAGCTTTCACAATTTGGGAGTTTCACTTTGAAACTTCCAGGCACGTACCCTTCAGCACAGCCCAACTGAGAAGAACAGTGCTACCCTTATCCCCTTTTTGGGGAAGGTACTTATTTCAAGCTACTATATTGGCATTGTAATGTTTAGCTTTCCTGTACAGTAAAACCTAAAACCCCAGACCCTAAACCCTAAACCCCAAACCCTAAATAACAGCACCTAGTTCGGAGTCGCTTCGATGTCAGTTGAGGGATTATTAGTTTTGGGGTTGAGGGGGTTTTGGTTTGTGAAATAAAGAAAATAATTCTGAGGGTTGGTTGGTTTGGGTTCACATAAATTCGTTAGAGCGGTCAGTAGGTTTGGGGGGTAGCCCACTCAGGCCCCTGTGCAAGGGTGACACGCACAAACCGAGAAGTGCACCAAATACGCCGGCGCACAAATCGAGAAGTGTCCCGAAACCCTAATAATAAACTCGCCCCCCAAAACCTCTAAGCCCGAACCACCAATAATCCAGCAGTGTGACAATAAGACAATCATAACAATGGTGACTGTTGGTAACAAACTCTAAGTCTTAAAACCGCAAAAATGCCCTAAAGACCTAAACCCAACAACAGACCTGTTCTAAGTCAGGTTTTCCAGCATACAGTAGATAGAGATTTCCACTTAGGGTTGATTCGGAGTTGGTGATCGTGATACAAACTAATTGAATTAATGGGTGAGGGGTTGATGGGTTTAGGGGTTGACGCTCTTCTTTTTGGTTGAAGTAATGCTCGGCCCCGTAGCTCACTCAGGCCCGTGTTTTAGGATGACACGCACAAACCGAGAAGTGTACTGAGCCTCTCAACGACATAACCCTGTAATCTCACCCACCCTAAAACCAGATTTACAGACTTCATGGTGATGTACAAAACCAAGCCCCGAAGCCCTATCCTTAAAGTTCGACCCCACCCCAAACCCGACCGCCTCAACCCACAACCCCCTAAGGCTTTAACCTTAGTTTAATTAATCCTTCAAAGAGTGACCCCGGCCATCACTGGCGACATCATCGGTGACCAGGCAGGGAGTGTCAGCACTGGTGGGGGCAGTTAGTTTTAAGTGTAAGTGTAGGGTAAGGCGGCATGCAACATTCGCCGCAAAACCTGTAGGGTGAGTAGCCGTTGTAGACTGAGCTAGATTGTAAGAAATGTCGGTAGGGTGTAGGTTGTTGTGCGACAGCATGCGACAATTCGCTGTCTAGCCATAGGGTGTAGGCGGCCACAAACCTGTAGGATAACTGGCCGTTGTAGGGTGACTCGACAGCATGCTAGACTTTCGCTGTCTTTTAGGGCCCTAGGGTGACTGTGTAGACTTGTAGATGCATGCTAAAGTTTCATATTATCTAGGGTGACTAGAGTAGCTACAAGTTTTGGCAGGAGATACATTCGCCCGAGTTGGTAGTCTAGTGCTAAAATTAAAAGGGTGATTAGAGTGCTTGCATTGAAGGTTGCTTCAGTTTCGGAAGTGTTTTGCATCAGAGTGAGTGCTGCTGCAGTGACATGTCATGTCTGGATGCCTGTGCCATTGTATTGTAGGGTGATGGTTATTGGCTTTTGCATTTCCGTTGCAGACGGCTGCGGCTGCTGGCCATCTTCATATCGGCAGGGTGATCGCACGGCAACCTGGGCCGCACTAGCCGTGTATTGCTTTAATTTAATAGAGTGAGTGATTGCAATGCAAGGCTTGAGGTCAAAGGTGAGGGTGATAGGGCCGTGTGTGCGCGGTGCAAACCATGTTGTCGCAGAGCGAGATCTCAAGTGAGGGTTTCGAAATTCCCTCAGGATGATAGAGTGACAGATTATTCTGAGATAAGGTTAAGGCGAGGGACATTGCGAGATTCATGATGATTGCAGGGCAGAGAGGGTGAGAGACACACAAGTAGGCGCTGTCATCACTTGTCGGTGACACTGTGACGCCATGGCCTGGGATCCGGCTTCTTCTCACTCTGGCGGCAAGGGTGAGTTCGGCTGGGATCCGACTTTTTGGGAGCCGGCTCACCATGGCAAGGGTGAGTTTTACGGCCCCATGGACTGGCGGCATCCAGATTTTGGTCCCCCTGGCGAGGGTGACTTCTACGGCTGGGGCAAGGGTGAGTGGGGCCCTTACGGCTGGGACGGCGGCCACAAAGGCAAAGCCAGCCACAAGGGTGACGAGCAGACCAGGACTTTTGTGATCACTAGCTTTAATAAACCCGACCCCCTTAAAACCCTCATAATTATTATTACCCTGCACCCTGAAGTCTAATCTTCTCCATTGCTGGAAGGACTCCAACCGCCACCTCACGGATGCGAGGGTCACTCTTCGCCGCTGCAAATACGACCATCGATGATCTGCGGGATCAGCTGCGGCGCCTCGAGGTTAGGGTTGTGGGGTTCAGGTTGTGCGGCTTTGGGGTTGGATAGAAGTAACAGTAGATATTCTAAAGTTTAAAATCGGTGCCTCGTAGTAGCACCCCACGTCGTTGTTGATAGGCTTAGGTGGTTTATTACAATAACGAATAAAAACTTGAACCCCTGCTAGGAGAGAAGGGTGAGGGAAGGGAACGAGAACGGGGAGCGGATCTCAGCCCTCCAGGCCAGACTTTGAAAACTCCAAAGCCCGACCCCATGGTAACTAAACAATGTCGCCTGAAGGCCGAACTGGCAGAAAAAGATGTCCAGAGTGACAGGGAGAAGAGGCTGTTGGAGGCCGGCTGGCCCCCCCCCTAAGCCCCGTTTAATTAGCTAGTTGAGCAGAGCTTGAACCCCCCTGGCAGGATAAAATGGTGAACCAGGAGTTCCAGTTCCGGAGTGAGCTCAGCGAAGCCGAGGCTTATGGCGATAATCGGATAAATTGATTGACGAACATCAATAGATTTTAATAAAGATCCTGAAGGGTGACTTTATTAAACGCACTCCCAAAGCAATCATCCCTGGTCAGGACCGCAGAGTCAACGAGGTCAGAGATCTCAGAGGTGAACACGCCAAAAGGCTGGCGGTGCAGGACGCTTTGGCGTTGAGAGACTTGGACAAGGCCAAGGGTGACCTGAAGGCGTGCAGACAAGAGAACGAGAAGATTCGCGCTGAGAATGTGAAGTTCGCCGACATCTGCGACACCGACAGAAGGGTGAGGGCCAACATGCGGACCGAGATGGACCGACTCAACACTCGGGTGAACGAGCTCAACCAAGAGAACGGTGAGCTTCGTGCCTTCATCATGGGTGACCCGGGGGGCAAGGGTGAGAAGGGCAAGGCTGCCGCGTCCCACGCTGAGAAGGGGAAGCCCGCCCAGGGTGACATGACGAAGGGCAAGGCTCCCTTTCAGGGTGAGAAAGGCAAGCCTGCCGCGTTCCCCCTGGGTGAGGGTACCATGCCGGTCACCATGCCAATGCCGCCTCAGGGTGACATGAAGGGCAAGGGTGGCCCTCCCCAGGTTGATTTAACAGCCGACCAGGGTGAGTCGCCGCCAACGAAGGGCAAGGGCAAAGGGTGATAATAATATACTAGACAAAGGGTGACACTATTATTATGATTTGACGGGTGATAATAATATGACATATCAATGTTACGGGTACTGTAAACCAGACCATAATTTAGGGTGAGTGCTGCCCAGGCCAGTCGTTGAGGGGTGATTTTCTCACTTGTACAGCCCTGCGCAACCGATGGCGCCTGCATTTTTGAAAAAGGCCGTACCGAAGCTGAGCTATAGTTCAAAACACGACAACAGCAACGTACAGTAACAGTGCAACTGCTCATCGACTGTGTCCTTGAATTGCAAGGGTGACAAGGTCTAGGATGTTCTGATATAGGCCTTAGGGTTTGAGGCATGGCTTGTCAAAACCCGTCAAAACCCTATGTTATGAAGCCTACCCCTTCAGGGCTCCTATTTCGGTGAGTGATTTCCCTTTGGTGTTAATATTATTATCCATTCTTCCGCAAGGGTGACTTTGCCATTTGCTGTCAGGACAGGGCTTCGGCTTCAGGGTGATGTAACTAACCAGTGCTGCAACTACCCTACTAAAGATGGTCTAGGGGGTTCTTGAAACACAGATCCTTGCAGCCCAGGCATTCTTCGCGGCTGGTCGGCTTGCCAGCTGGGCAGGGCCAAGCTTTCAGAATGGTGAGTTGTTTGTCTGTGATGGGGGATTTTGTAAGTCGGGTGGAGGGGCTGTAATCAGTAGGCGGCATGTAACATTCGCCGCAAACCTGTAGGGTGACTAGCCGCCGTTGTATTGTCATAGGGTGACTAGTCTTAAAATGTCGGCTAGGTGTAGGGTACTTACGACAGCATGCGATTTTCGCTGTCTAGGCAGCCATTAGACAACACTCAAAG